GGTAATTGCTTAAATTTGCTGTGTAGCAATATATGTATCTATATGTTTGTAATTGGATGTATATACATGTATATTTTTCTTCTTTTTTTGTATTCTATTTGTTTTTTTTTTTTGTATTTAATCCATTATATATCTCATAATTAAATGGATTACTCCACCATCTTAACAGTAGGTTATAAATATTAATATTTAAATTTTATAACAGTCAGTTTTCAATCTGTGTCAGAGTTGTACTAAACATTGAAGAACTAAATGTATATTTATTATTAGTATAAATTTTAGCTGTTATCTTACACTGACCACCACTCAATATGTGCTTATATATATATATATATATGAGGTCTGATCAAAAAGTATCATAGCTGGTGCTATAAGAAGAAAAGTACAACACATATCAATTCAGCATTTAATCTCCCTTGAACCGATTCCCTTCTGAAGCCACATATTTTATCCAACATTGTTTCCATTGATGAAAGCATTCCTGAAACTGCTTTTTCGGGATAGCAAGCAGTTGCCTTGTTGCATTTTCTTGGATTGCCTTAATGTTGTGAAATCTTGTTGCTTTCAAATGGGATTTGATTTTTGAAGAGGCAAAAGTTGTAAGGGGCGAGATATGGGGAATATGTCAGTTGTTGGAGCCATGGAATATTGTGCTTGACCAAAAAATGCTGCACAAGCCATGGTTACTGATGGAATCTTTGTGGTGTGGTGAGATGACTACACTCTACACACTTTCCTTCCAAGCACTGCTATAAACAACAGAAGTGAACAAGAATGTTATAACAGCGTGTATGCACAACAGCATTCAAGGTCAATCTGTGCCAAGTGGCTTCACTCTGCATACTTTAGTTCCATACTTTTTGATCAGACCTCACACAAAATATGACCCAAAAGTTTTGGGAACTTAATGGCCTCATCAAATGATTTCAAGAGATGTGTGAAATGCTTGACAAGACAATAAATATCTAATAATTTGACACATGAACAGATTGACTAATTCACATAACTTTTGGATAGAACCTTTTCTGAGGGGAATGAGAGATAGCATGCATACTTATATAGGTGTGAAACCATGTGTGTGTGTGTGTGTGTGTGAGTGAGAGAGGGTGTGTTTGTGTGCGTGAGTAAGAAAGAGAGAGAGAGAGTGTGTGTGTGTGTGCGTGCGTGTGTGTGTGAGTGACAGTCATAAAAAATGTATACAAGTAGGGTGCTGAAAAGTTCTCACAAGAAGCCCTCCTCATATAAATGTAAATAATGTGTGTAGGCTAGTATAAAATTTATATATATCCTATATATTTACCTAACAAAGACAAACACACACACAATTTTGCATGCAGGATCTGAGGATGTATGGACAAACTGGGTTATCAAAATATACTCATTATATACAGAGTGTAAGTAAAATAACTACCACATTGGTGAAAATATTACAGGTTAAAACTACTTGAACATGCTGGACCTTTAGTTCCCCCCACCTAACATCTCTGTGAAAGGGTTTTGCAAATAACGATCTTTAAGTAGGACAGTGCACCTGCACATTACTCACATGTCATCAGAGAGATTTTGAATAGTAAATTACCAAAACTGATAGCTTAGAAGAGCAGGAGTTATTGATTTGGGTAGTAAAGTCCCCCGATGTCACAACTTTAGATTTGTTTTGTTTGGAACCATATCAAGAATGTGGTTTACAGTAGAAAACCTAAAACACTTCAGGATTTAAATCACTGAAGACGAGGTATGGTCAATGAACTTGAAATGTATCAAAATTTTACAAGAGATTGTAAATTTGACAAATATTAATTTTACATATTGTTTTATTTCAACAACAACCTTCCTGGTGTCATCAGTTCTGATCTGGGGCAAGAAATGGCTTGTTAACTTTAACATCTCCAAAATGAAACTGCTCACTTTTAATCTTCTTAAGAGAACCTTTTTTGCCTTCCATCAGTATGGCTGATGCTAACCTCCAGGAGAGTGACTCATTACACCTTCTTGGTCTCATGTTTTCTGCTGATATGAAGTAGAAAGATTATATTGAATCCGTTGCTAGGTCTGGTGCTAGGAATGTTGGTTCACTGTGTTGTGCTAGACAATTTTTCTTGCCAGAATCTATCTTACATATTTATAAGTCTACCATTAATCCTTGCATTTGAATATTACTGCCACATCTGATCTGATGTTTCTTCTATACATTTAAAGATTTTTGATAAAATCTAAAGAAGAATTTACAATGTTATTGGTTCTGACCTGGTATCGCCATAACAGCCTCCCTGTTCCTTTTCTATAAATATTCTTATGGTAATTATTCTAAAGAACTTTCCTCTATGGTACCTAAACTTTATGAATTTAAGTGCAGTACTAGATTGGCAGCTAGGTCTCATCTTTTTACAGTTGAAATGGCTAGATGTAACTAAGTTCTATGCTAAAAGTTTCTTCTCTTGCACTTCTCAGTTGTGGAACTTTTTTGGTATCTTACTTTCCAGTCAAATTTGATCTTCAAAAATTTAAATGCAATGCTAATCGTTATCTTCTTGTTCTTCTATTGTACTCTCCTCTTAATAATGTTTTTCTTTTTCTCATTCTTTCACACTCAGTAACCCCTTGTGTCTTAGTGACTTTATTACCTTGCTTGGAGTGAAATGATTAAAAAATATTTTCAATATAAATATTTTCCTTTTGATCTTATTTTGTTTTTCTTTTTTGTTGTGTAGTTTTTATACCCCATATACCTCTGCTTGTATTTTATTTTCCTTGAAATATACATGGATTTGTATATATTTACTTCTGAATTGTAATTGCAAACATATATATTCATAGATGTGCTGCACACACAAGCTTTCATTAGCTGGTATTTTCATCTCATTAAACAGAATATTGTATTTCATGTGTACAAAAATGTTAGAAATGTTCTCTTTCACTAATTTGTTTGGAAGTTTATTTTTTATTGTCATAATTTAGCTATCTTATTATCAAAATTAGCTATCTTATTGTTAGAAGGTAGCCTGTGTGTCTATTTAATATTTACTATTTACTAGTATGTGTGGGAGAGTTTATGCTGCTTTCACATGTCAAAAAAATCTCCTCCCCTCACACACTGAATATATCAAATTATATGGCTGGACTTTAACCAAATTAAAGCTTATAATTGTCTTTTAAGTGGTCAGATTAACCTGCTACAGCAATTAAAACAAAACAAAAAATAGTTAAATAAGCATGAAGAAACAATATCAAAATTTATCTACCCTTTCTGCCTTGATTTCAAACTCTTCCCATGTAAAATGCTTACCAAAATATCTATAAATCTAATCTTTCTAAACACTTTCTTATCTTCTTTGCTTTTTCTTCATAATATTCACATTTTCCTCAATTCTGTCTTCATACCTTAGCTTGATCATGCTTAGTTTCAAATGAAATGTCTGTAAGCAGTCTGATTAAATTTACTTCTCTCCCTTTATTAAGTACTCTTATTGACAACAGTTACTATTGCTTCCTTTTATATGTTCACATTCACACACACCTGTCTGAGGTAGCACATCTGCTAGTTCAGCTCTGTGATATAATCCCTTTCAATGTTGTATATGCCTACGTCTCAGTTCACCAAAATGGGATAAAATGGATGCTCAGAGATGATGAATCACTGAGGTGATTGATTAAAATCAATAATAACCAAAGGTTAGTAGCAACTAAGCCCAATTAGAAACTATCTTCCTAAAAGGATGATAAAAACTAAATCTATACTGGGATGTTCCTATTGGATTATCATCTAACAAATGTTCAACCTTTAATCAAGGTGTCATTGATGATGAAAAGACTGTTCAAGCGAAAATTAAATCAAGAACATGAAGATATATACATATAATAGTCAAAACATTGTTGAAGACTACAAATTGGACCAATAAATGATAGATAGTATATGGTAGGCATTAGTAAAACACATAGGCAAGGTGAGAACATCTTACAACTGAATATAACTATCTCCTTTACTATAAGAGAAAGGAGAATGACAAGTTTAATGGCACAGGATTTTTAGTCAATAGTGACATTTCAGGCAGAGAAACATAAAATGTTTCAATAGTATATCAGACAGAATTAGTTGGGTACTAATCAGATTATACAAAAGATACATTCTAAAAATAGTCCAAGTATATGCACCAACTTCAAGAAATTCGGATGAGGAAATTGAAGTGTGTTATAATGGCACTAGTAATATTACAGATGGAGAGAAAGCAAATTATACCATTTTGATTGGTAACTTTAATACAAAATTAGGGACAAGAGAAGATAGAGTACATATTGTGAGAAAATTTGTACCAGTGAAGAGAAAAGAGAAATGTTAGTTAATTTATCACAGATACAAAATGATAATAATGAATTATTTTTTTTCAAAAGCAAAGGGGCTGTAAATGGACTTAGAAAAGTCAATATAGAAAAGAAAAAAAAATGAAAGACTTCATAATTGCTAACAGAGTACTGTTAAAAATGTAGCCATCATAAATAAAGATAATATAAAATGCAATCACAAAATGGTACCATGCGGAGTCAAATTTGGTTTTAAAATAAAGAGAAACAAAATGACTGACAGAAAGAAAACATACTCTAATAAATCAGAAAGAACATCACTGAATTTCAGGTAAAAATCAAGAATAGATTTCAGATTTGTGGAATAACAAAAATAACATAGAAGATATAAAGAGCAATAAGAAAGCAGCAGAAAAAACAAAGAAAATTACAATAATAAAAGTCATCACTCGCACTGATGATGAAGAAGAAAAGTCATCACTCGCACTGATGATGAAGAAGAAAAGTCATCACTCGCACTGATGATGAAGAAGAAAAGTCATCACTCGCACTGATGATGAAGAAGAAAAGTCATCACTCGCACTGATGATGAAGAAGAAAAGTCATCACTCGCACTGATGATGAAGAAGAAAAGTCATCACTCGCACTGATGATGAAGAAGAAAAGTCATCACTCGCACTGATGATGAAGAAGAAAAGTCATCACTTTCGCACTGATGATGAAGAAGAAAAGATCATCAAGCACTGATGATGAAGAAGAAAAGTCATCACTCGCACTGATGATGAAGAAGAAAAGTCATCATCACCGCACTGATGATGAAGAAGAAAAGTCATCACTCGCACTGATGATGAAGAAGAAAAGTCATCACTCGCACTGATGATGAAGAAGAAAAGTCATCACTCGCACTGATGATGAAGAAGAAAAGTCATCACTCGCACTGATGATGAAGAAGAAAAGTCATCACCGCACTGATGATGAAGAAGAAAGTCATCACTCGCACTGATGATGAAGAAGAAAAGTCATCACCGCACTGATGATGAAGAAGAAAAGTCATCACCGCACTGATGATGAAGAAGAAAAGTCATCACTCGCACTGATGATGAAGAAGAAAAGTCATCACTCGCACTGATGATGAAGAAGAAAAGTCATCACTCGCACTGATGAACAAGAAGAAGTCATCACTCGCACTGATGAACAAGAAGAAGTCATCACTCGCACTGATGAACAAGAAGAAGTCATCACTCGCACTGATGAACAAGAAGAAGTCATCACTCGCACTGATGAACAAGAAGAAGTCATCACTCGCACTGATGAAGAAGAAGTCATCACTCGCACTGATGAAGAAGAAGTCATCACTCGCACTGATGAAGACGAAGAAAAGTCTTCACTAGCATTGATGAAGAAGAAGAAAAGTCTTCACTAGCACTGATGAAGAAGAAGAAGAAAGGCCATCACTAGCACCGATGAAGAAGAAAATGTCAACACGAGGATTGATGAAGAAAAAAAAAATATGGACATATATACTAAGAGAGATAAAACTGAAAATGGGGAACTAAAGTAATTGGTAAAAATATAAATGAGGTATGGAAAAATAAACAGGGACTTGGAAAGAGTAGAAGCAAGATGTTAAGGATAATTGAAGTTCTTTGCAAACCTGTATACTTTGAAAATAAAAATACCACCAATAGTCACTCCAGTAGATACTTGTAATATTCTTGAGCTAATAACAGACAAAATAAGGTTTGTGCTTTGAAATGTGAAATGCAGAAAAGCACCAGATAAACAAGACATAGTAACAGATCTTTTGAAAGATGCAAGAGAAGAATTCTACAAAAAAAGCAGTTTTTTTACTTAGTGCATAAGGGAAAGTAAAGTATCTTGAAACTTCAGTCTCAAAATAGTAATCCAACTTTATAAAAATAGTTGCTAAAGCCCCTTGTATTACCTATATACTAAAGGTCTTATTATATTAGTATCAAATATATACAAACTATTCTCAAAAGAATATAAAATAAATAACAAATGAACCCCCTAAATAAAGATCAGTCATGCAAATAGGAAGGTTTTAGAAGTGGTTACTCAACAACAGACCATCTACAGACAATAGAATAACTAATAAAAAAACAATAGAATATAGTAAACCACTTTGTTTAGCTTTTGTTGACTATGAAAAGGTATTTGACTCAGTAGAACAAGAAACAGGCTTTATTGTATAACAGGAGTAGTGTATTAACAATAATTATAAAAAAATTTATTGATAATATATATGATAATATTACTGCAAAAATTCAACTATACAAAAAACATTATTAGAAAACAAGCAAAACAAGGGGATAAAATTTCAACTATTTACAGAAGACCTTACTGGAAAATCTAAGAATGAGGAGTAAAAATAAACAGAAAATAGTTTAACCATCTATAATTCTCTGATGACATTTTACTAATATCAGAATCACTGGATGAATTACAAGGAATTCTAAATGATTTAAATAAGGAAAGTCAAACTCAAAGTAGGTTTAAAAATGAAGGGAAATAAAGCCAATGTTCAATTGTAATATTAAAAAAAGATCAGAAATGTAGATGATGAATAAGCCGAAGAATACATATCCTTAGGAGAGATGATAACATGAAAGGGAGATTATGAAAAAGAAAGAAAACAATATATAATGGTAGAATGGAAAGAAGCATTTAACAAAAGAGAAATGTAATGAAAAGCAACTTGCCAACATGTTTAAACTTAAAGTGTATGGTCATGGTATAATGTCAGCCATGTTTGTATGGGGTGCAAAAAGATGAAAAATGAATAAAATCACTTGAAAATGGATTCAGCAGAAATGCATATTAGTAATGCTAGGAATAACTCTTAGAAATAGAAAATCAGCATAGGTCAGGAAAAAGACCAAGAGAAGAAATATATAAGTGATTAAATGACAAAAAACAGAGTTGGGCAAAAAGAAAATTAAACAGATGGAGTAAAAGGTTGTTTGATTGGTGCCCAATGGGTAGCAAACATAGTAGGAAAAAAAATAAATGGAGAGATAAAATAGAGAGGTTTGTTATTAACCCTTTGAGCTCTGACCACTGCTTTACCAGTGATAGAGAAAAATGACGTAATGCCCAGCCACTGGTTAAACAGTGGTAGAGAAAAATGACTTAATGCCTAGCCACTGGTTGAACAGTGCGTGAACACTTGTAACTATTTTTATATCTACCATGAAATATTACATACCAGTTATTTGCGAATTTTGACCAGGGAGCTCAGGCAGAAGGATTAAAATTGTTCAGGAACGCAGGGCTCAAAGTCAACTAGTGATAGCTGATGTTTATAATGTACAGAGTGCACCAAGTATTTGAAAACCCATCTTTAGCGAGCCCTAAAAGGAAGATGGCCTCATGTATTATTATTATGCAGTATACACCATATTTTAGCACTCATTTCTCATTCAGACTTAATGACATAGCCGTTTCCAATCTGACCCAGGAAATGAAATGACATACCATGCTAATGACACTAGCTTCCAATCACAGTAATTTAGAGATAACCAGCTTCTTGAGAGTAGCCAGGTGAACAAGTGGAATGGCAAGTGGCTCTGCATAAAACCCACAGAAGTATCCATGGTGATACAGACATCATCTATGATGGTCCTTGTGATCATGAGTATAACAAGGGCCATTTTATGCCATCCCACTCTTTCTGCAAAGTATCAAAGTTAATGTCACCACCTACAGTGAGGTGCTAGACATTATAGTCAATCCTTGGATCAAGGTAGTGGCCATATTTGTTCCAGCAGTCTCTCACATGGCTCACAGGAGTAACTGACCAAGAATTTTCAGAATCATGTCAAATCCCCCCACTCCCAACATGTGCCTTCCTAGCTCCCCTGATTTGAATCCCCTGGACAGTTATATCTGTAGCACTGGCAAGAGAAGATCAACCAATAAGCCCACAATACCAAGGGATTGTTAAAAGACACTATTGCACTATTAGCCATGTTGAATGAGAATCAACATATCCAGGAATGCAGTAACTTCCAAGACCACATCAAGGTTGTTCTTCAGCGCAAAGGGTGATTTTATTGTTTTTTGGTTTTTTTTTTTAAATGAAACATACGTACAAATCTTTTGGAAAACATACTGTCTTTTTCTTTTTTTTACTCAATATCTGCATTTTCTTCTTTATATTATAATTTGCTATTTAACCTGGTACACTATATATATATATAAAATAGAACACAGTGAGTGCTTCTTGTAATATAGCCTTCAAGTTGTAGCTGACAATTGCCATTGAAGAACAGAATTATACCAAATGGTGAAGAACAGAAGAACAAGTGTGTGTGTGTGTGTACAAACATTTTTGTGCATATGTATACAAGAAGATGCTGAAAATTTATTGCCCAGACAAAAGCCAGATTATGACTTTTTGGGATCCCTAGGCTAATGAAATTGTGTCCCCACTCCATGCAGAAAGAAAACTTTGCTAATTTGCCTGCAAAATATTTTTTGCTCGTTATATATTTTAGTGACATTTACATAGCTTGAAGTAAACTTATTGCAGGTTCTTTAAATAAACTAGAATAGCAATCTTTTGTTTGTCAATAAAAATATTCTTTAAGAAATACCACTATTTTACCATTTATTGCAAACCAAATTGGTGCATATTTCAACACAACTGTAGTAAAAAAAATAGATTTTATATAACCAGTATTATAACAATAAAACAATAATAATAAATGACAGTTTATGAAAGTTATAACATCTAGAAAATAAAATATGCTGCCTCATAAAAATTTCTAAAGTTTGAACATTCTGAACTAAAATCAATTCTGTTATCTATTTGAAACACAACACAAACGAAAACATTGTTTTCATTGCTTTGCTTCCTGTAAAGTCAAATATGAGTTTGTCATATTGATATCATTTCAGTTTATTAAACTATTTAAAAGTTATAAACATCTAGAAAATTAAAATCATTGCTTTATAAAATCTTGAGGGGCCTTAGGCTGCAGCCTATAATAGCCTAATCAATAATTCAGTCCTGGCCCATTTCTCAAAATCTGATCAAATGAGTAAATATCAGAATGTTTTTAAGGGATTCTTGGTTGGGCTGAGAAATTTTCAGCACCACTTCATAGCAGGAAAAGAAACACATGCAAGAGTAAATCTTCTATTATGTGCAGTATCCCATCAGGATGTGAATGATCATGGCTCTCCACAATTTCCTGTCCTTTGTAGCTCTTAGCAAGAATGAATACTGATATAAAATACATGCATGCTGCATATATCCTACAAATAGACAAATTGTATATGTCTTTGTGTGTGTGTGTGTGTGTGTGTGTGTGTGTGTGAGAGAGAGAGAGAGAGAATAGAGAAAGAGTGAAAAAAATTACATTTTTTAAATGATTATGATTTAAATCATTTAAAAAGTTATCTGTAATAAAATAATTTAATACTGTCTATAATAAATAACAAATATGGCCTTTCTGATGGACTAACTGATATCAGAGGGAATGAAGAGGCAATAAAAACTTTCTCAAAAACCTCTTCAATGTGTAAATACAAGAATTAATGTACAGAATTTTATAGGTATTTTTTATTTAGTTTGATGTTTATGTATGCAGTTTGACAAAAATGTCCGGAGAAAGAAAGATATTAAAAACAGCAATATTACCTGCCATTCATTATTTCTACTTTTTATTGGGGAGATAATTGGTATTTCTAAGCCATATTTAATCACTAGTTAACTATGTACTAAAAATACCAAAAAGGTATAACTATTTAGGTGCAGTGGAAAATACTTTTACAATTCTTTTAGCCAAGATAATTAAGTATAATAGCAGAACTTTGTTTATTTAAATATTCTTCCTATAGTTCTGCATTCTTATTGAATACAGAGCAATTTTTTCAACTCAGTGTTGAAAAGTTTAAGATTTCAAGATGAAAGAAAACACTCATTTATGAAACATTATAAAATATATTTGATGACTTAGAGCCAGCATGCAAATTGAAATGTTCTGGTGTTCAAAACAAATGAAAATCTGTAAATGCTTTGGAGTGTCACTAGGGATAGTACCTCTGACAGGAACAGTTGTACTCCTTTGGGAGTAGTTTGTTTAAGTTGGTTTCAATTCTCACCTGTGGCTCCAAATAGCTGTTTGCATACAACAGCAGCTACATCCCAGTGAACTGCTTTGACTGGTGGGCAAACCAAGCTAGGATAGTCAACAGGTTCAGACACTTGATAATTTTTACATCTGTCAGATCCAATGACCATGAAGGTAGTATCAGCAAGAGCCAGCCGTGAAGTGTGTCAGAGCACAGACATGACATGTAGAAGGCCTGGTCATAGACTGCAGCCTGGAAGTCTCTGGTTGTAACCGTTTTAGTGCCACCAGATGAAGACTCGCCAGGCTGAGAGAGTGGAATTTCCCCAATGCAATCATTTTCCCCACAAT